CTTCATTGATGTTGATTTCATTTATAATTTAAGATTTAACTCCACTAGAAATGGGTTTTCTATGGTTGCTTGGTTGAATTTTAAAATTATTTTAGGGGTTGGTAGTGGGGTAATTGATTGGCGTTTCACTATTTATAACTAGGAGATGGAATTGAAGATAGTTGGTGTTCATTTATTTCCAATTATTTCCTATATAACTTCGACCTCATCACAGACTGCCAATACAAAGTTTTCTAGGTTATAATTGGACTCAACTGGTTCATTTTCCTTGAAAGTTCATCTGAGTTTGATTTTAAGTTAGCAAAATGAATTGCTTGTTATTGCCTTCTGCAGAAAAATTTTCTTCCTTGTAATGCTTGTTTATAATTTCATAACTCACATTGAAATTTTTGGTGCCGAGAGGTAGAATATTGAATAGGGTATACTCATCCGTAGGTACCTACAAACTGTAAAATATACAAGTGTGCAAGGGATTAATGAATTTATTCTATTATTTGATTGCAAAATATGTTTTCTCTAAAATGCAGGTTCTTACCAATGGCATAGAAGTAAAACTACAAAGGAACGCGCTAAGTGTAATTGAAGCTCCTACTGGGAACGAGGAGGACGATGACATTGAATTTGAAAATGTGCAGTGGAATTGCTCAGATATGGGTGAGTTCAAAGTTTTGCCTCTTGTTGACTAAGTAAAAGTAATAATTTTTATTCTAAAAGATAAGAATTTTTGAGATGTATTATTTTCTCTGTTTCCTGAATCTATATGTATTCAGACCCCTCACATGAATTTTGTTGTGAAACAAAAGACTGAAGTGTAGCAGTGATCTTGACATGTGGCCATGGCCCAGAAATTGTTAATATTAAGCTCTAGTCCCAATCTTGAGAGCAATAATAACAAAACGAGAAACAGAAAAGCGCACACAAAACACAAAGATTTATTGTTGTTCATTCTTAATGCGTATCGATGTCTACTTGTTGCTGCTGAAGTTTACTTTGATGAAGGAGAGTAACATGCTTTCTTTTTTCACATCTCTCCTCTCATACAGAGAAGACAACTCCTTGTATTCCTATTTATTTAGGAAACTAGTGAAATTTCAACACAAATGCCGTCCTATGCCTTATAATTCAATAGCTTTAGTGAAAGATAAAAGAGATTTTTCTTACTTTTCTTATGGATTTTAGTTATTGCAATTTTTTATTTATGGTGGAAAGGTTTTTAAGGTTGTTACATAGGATTCTTCGTATTTGTATGTCTTTATTCCAGCAAGCTCTGCTGTTGCATTACTTTATTCTTTGTTCTTTAGGCCCACGAGAAAATGTAATTGTGCTGTGTATACTGTTTTTCTAGCATCCGATGAAACTCAAAAGTCTCATAGATCAAGGCATCGAATGCACAGGCCAACTGGGTCCTCTCACAAGACTCTTAGCCGATCTCTCTCCTGTGACTCTCATTCTGTTTCTACTCCAAAGGGGCCCACAGTAAGTAAAGCTTTACACTTTTAATGTGTAGCATTATTGTTGTTACTGTTTTTTTCTTGAAAAAGAAAAAAATAATCGAGGTTATGACAATGCGTGCAAATTTAATTTTAAACACTCCTGTACAGAAAATTGACCTTGGCAAACTTGAGATTGCTGCATTATGGAGATATTTGCGGCACTTTAACATTGTAAGTGGTTTTATGACGAGGAAATTTATTTATATTTTTAGGTGGGTTAAACAGGTGGTCAATGAGAACCCGATAAAATTTCATGCTGGTTTCTAAACTTCATTTTGTTCTAAGTTGGTCTTAAAACTAAAACCTTTTTACAATTTGGCCACTCCATCCATGTCCGTCAGTTTCACTTATGATCAAATTGTTACAGTGTGCAAGTTCAACGAGCAATATGGTACAAATTAAATTTAGTGACCAACATAAAATTTTGCAAAAAGTTTAAGGTCCACTGGTGGGTTTTAACCCATTTAGGTTTGATCAAAGCCACTTTAGTTCCCGCTAATGCTCTGAAATTTTTCCTCAGGCGGATGCCATTCCTAACCCGTCCAAGGAGCAACTCATAGATGTTGTTCAGAGGCATTTCCTATCTCAGGTATTTGCTGACCTGCTCTTTTTTTTAAAAATGCTTTTCTTACTGACATTGAAACCATATATGTTGCTGATCAAGAACCAGATGATTCTTGAGATACCATTATATGATGTATATTTATAGTTGCAGCCTTATTAATTGGAAGAATTGTCTTCTATTTATGTAGCAATTGGATGAGTTGCAAGTCATTTCCGGGTTTGTACAGTCTGCTAAGAGACTGAAAACTGTTTGCAAGTGACATTCAGAAAATTATATGAGAAGTCGCTGCATATCTGTTCCTGACTCTAACAAACTGTGATTTCACTTTCTTCTCCAGTCGTATATGTAATATATGAACTCCGGTGCTTATCCTTTTAGTTTCATGGGCCAGTGTCCAAGTCTATAGAGGTTCTCGTATCTTGGTACAGTATATAGTTATATGTGAACCAGTTTAACTCTAAGAAGGCCTTCTTGGCTTTGGTTGAATGTATGCTAACTAGTGGAGTGTCCTTTAAAATGTATAGTTGTATGCCCAATCAATCGACCATCAGAAGCTTGCTTTACATGCGTATTTTATCAGAAGTCGAGAAGCTGACTATGTTAGTACTTATTAGCTGTACTGTACAGTTATTATCTCTTGTTCGAAATATATATGCGTCCTTATAATGTGCGTGAGCCTTTTCAATGATGTTTTGAACTTGTTAAGGTGATGTTCGAGTTGTTTCAAGAATGCAATTTTGTTGTAAAACCTGGTAATCTCTCCCTTGAGCAAATTGATTCAGGATTCGTTTGACATGGATGTTGCTTCTTGTAGAAGAATTTGAGGAAGCTATTGTAGGTTGGCTTTCTCTAAAAGTTGTTTTAGCTGGACAAGGTACTTCAAAAAAATTATACAAAACGTTGGGCTTGTTAAAAAAAAAAAATAATAATAATAAAAATAGAAAAATTATTAATTAGAAAGTTTATTTATTTAAAGGTAATGTTTATGCATATCATAAGTCTGATTTGTTTAGTCTGCGTGAGCTCATTTTACGTTATGTCTTTTCATTTTCAAATGATGAAACCGAAATGATTTGAGATGAAAATTTGTGGGGGAGACAAATGAAGTACTGTAAAATATAAATTTTTATTTTTATTTTGGGGAAAATAAATTGAACATTTAACTTAGTTGTTTTCATAGTGAAGTCATCGATGTTTATTATTTTAAAGAAAATATAATCATTTTTTCACATATATAATTTTAATAGAATTAATAGAAAATTCAAATGATAATACTTCAAAGCATAGTTGTCAGACTTGACTTGGATACGGATTTGTATATTACAGCGGGTCAATGGGTCTATGGTTCAACTGGTGATCCGGTGGGTCAATATCTGTCAAATATATTATTACTTATTTTCGTTGAACAATAAAATTTTATGGTTTTCTACCAATAACTTCATTAGCCTCATAATGAAAGTTCAAACTTAACCCAGCACATCTAATTAATGTTCATAATGAAATAGAAACTGGAAACATAAACCACTTCACTCACCGTTTTGAAATTAACCCCACAAAAGCCAATTTTATTATACTCAAATAATTAACCACAAGATATTTGGCTACTGGACTGGGAACTTTGCCTTTGGAGTCAGTCAATCCTGTTCATAATGAAATAGAAACTGGAAACATAAATTGCCCACTGACTATTATTTTGGAATTAACCCCACAAAAGCCTATTTCATTCTACTCAAATAATTAAACATGATATTTGGCTACTGGGATCTTTGCCTTGAAGTCGGTCAATCTATTTACATGCTTTCAATCTTCGCTGCTATTTGCCTATTTCTCATCACCTCAATCAACCAAATAAATACAGCAGTAATCTCCTTATTATAATCGATTTGAACAACAATTACAATTAACAGAAGAAGAAAATATATATGTATGATTTAGAAAAATTTGTCTAAGGGTTTGTTTGATTACAAAGATGGAATTGAATTGCCTAGAAAACGAATTTCAGGAAATTAAATTGCCTAAAATTGTTTTCCTACGAATTGATTGGTATAATTTTTCACGTGAAAAATGTTGAAATGAAAGTGATTTTTGATATTCGTTTAGTTTTGTTTTATATAAAAATTTTCAATTAAAGGGATATAATTTACTGGTATTGGGGATAGAATTTGTTTCCATTATCCAAAAAAAGTCAAGAAAATCATCTATTTTTTGGTGTTCGTTTAATTTTTTTTTACATGAAAATTGTCATTTAAAGGAAAATATTTTTTTTATAATTAGGGATAAAATTTGTTTCCATTGGCCCCCAAAAAAAAAAAAAAAGTATGCTACAGTAAAACCAAGAAAAACTCCAAAGTTCAAGAAAACCAAGAATTTGAATTCCACGGAAAAAAAATTGTATCAAACACCTAAAGTTAGAAAATTCAAATTCAATTCCAATTCCACCCTATCAAACACACCCTAATTGTAAAATCAATGGCCGAGCTTTTTTAGTAAAATTCATCTAAAAGAGACTGATCTATTCTTCCATCTCTTCAAACTTGAAATTGGAGATTTTGATTTTTTGAGAATGGTTGAATTGCAAGAGATTGGAGCCGGCTACTGGGATTTCTTTTTGATACTGGGAGAATCCCTAATGTAAGAATATGTGAGGAGACGGGCAAGGGAAAGTGAGAAGACGGAGAAACATAGGGGTACTTTTTAAAATAGCTTGGTCAAACAACCAAATTTTCATTTTGACCATTTTTTTTTTTTGTATTCACCACATTGACCTATTGTCATTAAAAAGACAATTCTACCCTTATTCATGTTTAATAATTATAAAAGTATATCAATTGTTTAAAAGACAATAATACCCTTAATAGTTTAAATAAATTCTGTTACTTCCATACGTAAATTTCAAAATCAGTTTTGATTATCAGTTTCTCCAATACAGTAAAAAAGAATTTTTTCCTTCCATCTGCTAAAATATTGAAATCTCCCAAAATTATCAAAGGTTCAAGAAAGAAACAATACTCACAGTCGGCATTGGAAATTGGTAAGTGTAAATACGTATTTTGAATTTTGTTTTAGTTAAATTTACTGTTTGAATCTGTAAATAATTATTTTGAGAAAGGCAGATGAATTTTACAGTGTTTAAACACAGATTTATAATTTTTTTATAGCAAAAATAACAAAAAAATTCATCTCTGTATGCATATATTTTACAGAAAAATTTATAGGTGTCTGTAAAATAAATATTTAAACATTATTTCGTTGAAAAAGGGAAAAAATAAAAAATTCGAGCTTAAATTTCAGATGAAACGGACGAAAAAAGTTGGGCCAAATGTTTCCAGCCGGCCCAGTTGTCTGGGCCAGTTGGAAACAGCCGGCCCAGTTATCTGGGCCGTTGGAACAGCCGGCCCAGATGGAAGCAGCCGGCTGTTCCCAACCCCCTTTTTTTTCTTTTTTTTTTTCCCCCTTCAGATTTTAGAATTTATTTGTTCATTAATATATGTTTATTGAAATAAATATTAATGAATATTTAA